ACAACAAAAAATAATGTGAGACTAACGCATGTTTCTCAATACAATAAGTCAAAAAGATAATTTGGCAATACAGTGGCACTAACTGTATGGAAAAAAATATAAAAACATTTTTACAGCTGCTCCATATGAAAAAACATGGTAACTAATAACAAATGCTACCTTTTTAAGAATTAATATAGATGTCCATGAGAGGAGTGCTCTCCGTGTTAATGCGCTATCTTGAAAAAAAGTGGTAGATACAAAAAGGATGCGAGAATCGCGTTTTCGTTTCACATGAGCTACTGATATCATTGCTTTCACCGTGCCTTCACAAGTATGAAGAAGGAACCATGGAAGACCACAGTTATATAAAAGAACAATCCAAACAACAATCTTTCCGGAAATAATTGTGCAAAAGTCCGGCGTCATAGCAGCAAAGTGTCAACATCGCAAACCACACGCACCTAAAGACAGAGTTAAAACAACAGGAGGCACATTGTGTAGTTTGTACACACCAGACTCACACATGAACTATACGTAACTTTTTTTGAGAAGTGAGAAATGGGAACGAGGTAGAATCTGCAACACATTCTCAGAATGTTCTGACCCGATCTGAGCGCAGTCCAACTACTATGTCACAAGTTTCAACTAAACTTATTCAGGGACAAGCCTCAAATAAAACGCACAGATCCCCACAAAACAATCGCCAGAAGACTTTATCAGCAGCTTTTCTTACCGTGATGCAGATAGGGCGCTGTGGCTAACGCTAAAGCTAACATGAGCTTTTAGCCATGTCCTGCCGCGGCTGTGTATATCTCCTGCCTCTCTGCTCATCGTTTAAGCTCCCGCAGACGTTATACCTCCATGCATCTCTTCTCTTCACAATGCGTTTGTAAAACTATATATAATAGAACCATGGTAAAACTCAGTAGAGCCTTTGTGTAGCGGGTGATGCTTCAGAACGCGGTCTTGTTTACATGTCGCCTCCACGCAACTGTCAAGTATCCGAGACGTTTGTAGAAATCCGGTCATTTATCAAACTAAGTATTATTTCCTTGGCAGTCTGGTGAATGACTGTCTTTGACAATGCTCCTCAACACAAAGGCTTCCGTAGTACTTTGGACTGCAATATGAGATCTCAACGCTAGATGGCACTAAAAATTACACAGTGTACCTTAAACTAAGCCAAATAAAAAAAAACACAACTGTTTGTTTTGTTTGATTTGTTCACAACATTTTACTTTTGTGCACAACTAACATGCATTGTCAATGCAAGCAAAAATGTAGGTACCTCACGTACCTACATTTTAATTCAGTGAGTTTTGGCTGCGCTTCGTGAGGACACTTGGGCGAGACGTGGGGGAGAGACGGGGGAGACAGGCAAGATCTGCACGTACGACGGGATGGTCCTGATAGCGCGTGTATAATTCTGTCCGCGCGTCTATGATCCGCGGTACATGACCACGTTACGGCTGCGCGTTCGCTGAGCAGCCGCAGTTGCTTCCGGGGTCAGAACGGAGGATGTTAATCCCGTTTGAGTATGCAACGTAAACAACTGCCACACTGTCACACATTTCACAGAAATATTTTCAGCGAGAAAAAGTCGGAATTCGCGGATCTGCAGATAATTCTCATCACAGGTATACAGTGCCTTGCGAAAGTATTCGGCCCCCTTGAACCTTTCAACATTCCACATTTCAGGCTTCAAACATAAAGATATAAAAAAATTATTTTATTTTTTTATTTATGAATCAACAACAAATGGGACACAATCGAGAAATGGAACGAAATTTAATGGATAATTTAAACTAACTATTTTAACAAATAAAAAAACTGAAAAGTGGGGCGTGCAATATTATTCGGCCCCTTTACTTTCAGTGCAGCAAACTCACTCCAGAAGTTCAGTGAGGATCTTTGAATGATCCAATGTTGTCCTAAATGACTGAAGATGATAAATAGAATGCACTTGTGTGTAATGAAGTCTCTGTATAAATGCACCTGCTCTTTGATAGTCTCAGGGTTCTGTTTAAAGCGCAGAGAGAACCATGAAGACAAAGGAACACACCAGGCAGGTCCGAGATACTGTTGTGGAGAAGTTTAAAGCCGGATTTGGATACAAAAAGATTTCCCAAGCTTTAAACATCTCAAGGAGCACTGTGCAAGCACTTATATTGAAATGGAAGGAGTATCAGACCACTGCAAATCTACCAAGACCCGACCGTCCCTCCAAATGTTCATCTCAAACAAGGAGATTTTATATGAACATTGCAATGTGTAATGAGTCTATACAGGTGATGCTCCTGAAGAACCTCTTCTTAAAGATACCCCTCTATAAGAAAATCATAATCATTGATTTGAGTTCTAAACTATTTTAATCGATTTACATTGAAATGAAAAATCTGCCAGCTAATTGATATGAAAATAATCCTTTATTGCAGCCCTACTTTGATTAGAATCGATTGATCCCACTCTGTTGGACTTTTCCAGTCTCTGATCTTAGAAGTCCATATGAAAAAAAACATGTAGGTTGTAGAAAGTGTCATTTGGGTCTTTGGAATCATGTGTTGTTGTGCCCAAGAGCCCCTGAAAAGCAGAGCTGTGTCATTAATCAAGCCTCGGAGGACAACAATGAAGTTAAGAGATGCAGGGACGCAGCCGACCTCTGAACATTTTGGGCAGCTCTCGCATGTCCTGTTGTTGCAAACGCTGTCAAAGATAATTGGCTGCATAGATTCCTCACTCGGACAGCGGATTAATTTAAGCTTTCCCTCAGATGCTGTCCATGTTATAGTTGTCTTATTTGTTAGTGTTTGTGACAGTGAGTCAGCCTTGCTGCTGAGCATGCATTACAATTTGACCACAAATGTTTGTCGCATGACAATTTTAAGATCATGCCAAAATTCATAACCTCTGAGTCTGACGTGTGCAGTGTTTGGGGGTGATGAGCTACGAAACCTGCTCAAAATGAACTCATAACTGATGATTGTACGATCACTGGTGAGTCGCAGGTCCAAGCGCTGTCAAATACAAAACTAAACCCCACAAAGGACTTTAGATGAAGGTAACTGTCTCGTATGCTAACAATTTGTTAATGTTATATTTGATATTTATTTTTATGAGAATGCAGTGGCTCTACACAATAATCTAACACACCATTCACTTATTCAGTGAGGACAACTTATTCAAGAGGTGTCCTCCCAAGGTCGGCCATTAGATTTTCAGATGTGTCAGGCACTTGCAGTTAACTCAGATTTGCCGGGGGCTGTGTTTTGCGGATTCTCCACTTTTCAGTTAGGGACTAGTTTGAAGTGTCAAAACCCATCTTTGCCTCTATGATAATCAATTTTCCCATGTATATTTATGAAAGGTTAGGTAGGGTACAAATTATACTTGGTTTCCGTAGGCACATTTTTCCTCTTCATTTGACCCATCCTGCAGGTGCCTCCTGGGCCCCAATCAGGAGCAGTGGTCCCCACAGTGCAGCACCGGGGGACTCATCTCTAGATGTTTGACTATCGAAGCAGATTTGACCTATTTTACCTGTTTTTAATCAAATGTGTTCTGTATCTTTGAACTGGCTTGCATCCCCACAAACCTTACTCATCGTTATGATCTATTATATCCATGGAGTCGTGCTGGTGATTTTCTGTCTGTAACTGTATGTTTTGGAACCGGAGTTGGACCCACTCATGCACAAGCAGAAGGGGGATATTATTATTATTTTTTTTACTCTTTTCTTGTCAAACAGTCACATATCATATGTGTTTTGACATATATGGTAGATATGCCAGCCAGCATCATCTTCCTACAATGCTTTGACTGGAGCCTCCCACACTCGTGCTCGTGGGATGAATGCACACTGCTATGGACACTGCTGGAATCTGTTTTCTGAGATTTTTTTCTGCCTTTATAATCCCCACTGTGCTCCCATCATCTGTATTTGGATTATATTCAATTGTAGTTTTTATTACAGTTTTTCTCATCTGGGTTTAACAGCAACTACCAGGAAGTAGTCTGTATCTACAGAATGCAATAGCTCAGCTTAGTTTCATATTAAGTAGAATTGATGTGTTGTAATTTTGGCTCTATGTTTAGCGCTTCGGCTTTCATTATCTGCTGTCAATACCCAATATGAACAGAACAGGTACCAGCAAAGGGATTTAGAATGTCATTTGATATCTGTACCTCAAAGGTGGCTGGGGAGCTTGCATGTATAGCATTGAGGTCTTTGGCCTCACATCACGCCTCAGGCTTAAGCTCTGCTCAAACAACTGCCATTTAGGGCTGAATGATATTGGGAAAAAGTGTGATATGGCTCAAAAGCAGAAGTTTGAGAATGTGCAAGATTGTGATCTACAGATACAAACTCATCTGGGTTGAAGTTGGGTAAAGTGAGCACCAAATTCACGAGGGCAATAGCTCATGAAGACATTGTTTAACAGAAGTAATAGCAATAGTGTTAATGTGCTCAAAAAGTTGGACTTTTTAGTGTGTTGGGTATTTTTTCAGAGAATCTTCTGGTCCGGCCCAGTTGAGATCCAATTACTACTACAACCTTTTGGTTTCAGAGCCATAGTTTCAGTTAATTATTGTATTGTATGATAAAATGTATGAATGATAAAAAAACATTAATCTTCAACAGCTGTCCCAATTCTTGGTTATTATGAGTATGTTTTACACAATATGAGATTTGGATTAGTTTTAAGTTTACTGATTTCAGTGTTTGGTCACATCAATAAAAAGCAAGTGTAATATGTCCTGTGCATTACATTAAGGAATGAGTTACCTTTATAGAATAGCAGCATTTCTACCCCAAGGATAGAACTGCTGCTGGTGATGTCAGCCGTGTGAGCCAACAGCTCCATGTTTCAGCAATCAAGTGAAATAGTACTTTGCAAAGCACCGTTATCATGACTTATTTGATGTCAGACTACACAAAATTAACACATCTGCCTCTTTCTCTCCCTCCCTCTTCCCCTTGCCAATCTCTTTTCTGTAAACCCACACTTTTGTGTCTTCAGTCCTCTACCTTTAACCTCATTCTCTCATTCATTTCTACATGTGATTTCTTTCATCTCATTCCTCCTGTACTATCACCTCACGTCCTCCTCTCCTCCCCCTCCCCCTCAGCTTCTCTGGCAGGCTGCACATTGCAGTGAGTCAGTATCATGGAGGCAGGCAGCGGGGCTGCCGCAGCAGTGGGGAGTGCAGCACTTGGACTGCTGGGAGCCACTGCTACGTCCAGTCATGACATTTTAGACAGGTAAGAACAAACACACACACTCAAACATGACACCCCTGAGCTGATACGACTTTAGAACTCAGCACTTTACTCTATGGAGGAGAACACGCTGGACCACACCTAACCTGCTTTTAGTACGCATGCTAGTTTGTTTATAGTCTGAGAAGAGCTAACAGAAGATATAACTTTGCGATAATTACACTGTACTGGAAAGCGCTCTGTATTTGGTTCATGCATCAAATGGGGATGTTTGACAAGTGGAGAATGTGTCTGTGCTGCTAACTGTACCTCTGTGTGCACGTGAGCGCATGCATGTGCTGATGATGCTAGGGGGTGTTACTTGGCTTCTTCTGTGCTTCAAGGAGAAATGACACAGGGTTTGCGCATGCCGAGGAGGGGGTACCCTTGGTAAACGTGAGTGCTATAGCTCTGCCGATAGGATTGCTTTGCCTAGTCACCACCACTACCCCCTTTCAGACCACCATAGCAACCAAGAACTAACCATGAGCACTGTCGCTCTTCGAAACCCTCATTCACATTTCTGTCTCAAGTGTTGCAAAAAAGGCTCTTGTAAAAGACTCAATGAATGTGCTTTGGGCCAGTGACGTCAGTGCTACAGCTGTGGCCGTGCCCACTTGTCTGTATACCATCCTCATCCAACTAACATAGCACTAGCTTTGCGACTGGGCATTTTCCAGAGTACTCCTGGGAGTTGAGCTGTTTGGGGATGAACACATATGTCACGTCCCATGTGCAGGTGACAAACACAGCCTGCGCTCGCTCATGAGGGTTTCTCTGTATGGCACAGATTGTCATCATATTACTTTTGCCCCTGAGCTCTAACTAATCTCCACCATATCCAGGGGATCTCCTCTGACACATTGTACAATCAGATATGGAACCGAAGGCTGGCACTGTGACTCACTGAGCCGTCATTCCCTTACTATTTCTGTTTGTCATCGCTCTTTCTCACTGTGGAGAAAAGATTTTTTTCTGTGGCATCTCACAACTTGTCCCTTCCAGTATTCTAGAGCCCTCTACTAATTAACAATTTGTACCACCACCTTTGCTTTTGTAACCATGTTTGTCTTTTTTGCTAGAACACATCATACTGCCTTTGCATTGGGCCATCATTCTAGTTTAAAACTGGTTCTAATTTCTGCACCACGTAACCATGGCAGCAGCAGCGTAGCATACATTAGACAGCAGTCCAACATCACATCTGAGTGGAAAAAATAAAAACTTGCGAACTGCTGGAAATTATATTGTGATTTTAACAAATAAATGATCAGACTATTGATGTGAGAATCAATGATAAAATTGTTCTCTTACAAATATAACTGTAAGAACATTGATTGAAAGGAGAGTAAAATTTTCTTGCTCAGTTAAAAAGACACCACCCTGCTTAAAATGCTTTTGAATTAGTTTTCTTAAACATTTCCCTTACCATAAAAGTTAACTATAAATAAATGTGCAGCTTGGGGAGATGATAGAAACAACAAATGTATGAATGAATCTCACAATCACACAGCAAGTTTACAATAAACACTTTGATAATCTCCACACTCTAGTAATCTCAGGCTGGGAAAGGGATTTTTCCATTGCTTGTGAAGGTGAAGGTGCACTTTATTAATCCCCGTAGGGCAATTCAATCCTCAGCATTTGACCCTTCCTGATGCCGTAGTACAGCGCCCGGGAACCCATCTCCAGATGTTGATGCTTTGTCAAGACTACCCGAGCTGGAGGATTTAACCTAGTGAGCATGGTTTTAGTGATATCACAAATTACGTTTGCGCGTTGAATCTTGGTCTCATATTCCACCAAATATGAGCCACACCCACCCAGGCAGCAATAAAGTTTGTCGGCTTGACTAAACCTGGTCGCCCCAAATGACCTAAAAACATGTTTGTTGTTGATCTGACGCTGTTCTTCCTGGGGTCTAATATGACCACACTCGTTCTAAAATACAACGTTCATATCTGAATTCTAGTTAGTTGAAGTTTTTATTTTTTATTTGTATGGACCGCACTGTATAAAAGTGTGTGGTTAGTTTTGTGTTTTTGTCAAAGTTTTTCAGTGGATGAAGAGATCCTCTGCCACAGTTAATGAGGGCGGATTGGGAACAAAAAGGCACTGCGAGGTGACACAGCTGCCGGACAGTACGCCATTTGTGTCGCTAATCCAAGCCAGAGCTGAGCGCCAGAGCACTATGGCCTCCAATTCTGTAAGTGAGTAGATGTAATGGCTGCTAATGTAAAGCATGCAGACGCCGGTAAGGGCAGCTTTCTATTTACTGCTAATGTGAGCGCTGCAATTCATTTTCTTCATTATCCCAAGTGATGTTTCACTTAAAGCTCTAGGCTCATGGGAATAGAAGAGTTGATCTTGATCGTGCCAATTGTTGCGCACTGCAACCAATTTTGAAGGTTGGAGGTTTGTTTTGACTCTTCATTTTGACATGTGTAGCCCCACTGTTGTACCGGGTTGGCATCATTGCTCAGGTGATCAGTTTTTAGGGGTTATCAAAATAAGTGGGGTGGTAACAGATTTTTAAAGCCAAAATTGTTAGCCCATTCACTTACAATGGAACAAAGTGGCAAAACATATAGAGATAGATCTACAGTATATCTATATTGACCAGATCAGTGTTCCCCAACCTTTTTGAGCCGCAGCACACCTTTTTCATTGTATACGATCACATGGCTCACCACCAGCTGAAATTGATACAAATATGAAACTAGAGTGCCTTTTGCATATTTAATAAAGTCTACACAAACAAACAACATCTCAAGGCACATTTACGTGCTACTAGTTGTAAAACCTACTGTATTTAGACGTATTGGTGTCAAAAATGGAATGCACACAGTGTTGTTTGACAAAACTGTGCTTTTACTGTATGTACGATGAACACTTATTACCAATAGCAGCTCCACAGTTCTAAGTCAGTGTTACAAGACGCCTCTGAAAGTGTCACAAAGTATGCTGTGGTCAAACACTCTGCCCTGTACAGAACGATCTGACCGGTTTGTGAGAAAAGCCTAAGTAAGTTTGGCCTAAATAAGTTTTTATGTGCAGTAAGGGATTGACTCTTGTAAACCTGTTAGAAGTTTCCAATTTCACCCTTAAAAATGCTGCTGTCATGGCTTCACTCAAGGCACTGACACCCACATGTATGGCCTAAAATAGGTTTTAGTGGGTTTTTAACAACATTAGATAGCTTGACCTAGTTTTTTTCTGGACCCTTTATTCATTATAAACATCCCATAGAAACCTCTCCATTCGCATTAGTAAATTGTGAGGTTACGTTCACTGTCTGCTTTATTATCAGGCAAGAGTGCGTATTTGTATTTCTTCTTGTATTCGCCATTAAGGAAAGACCTTTCATACCTGACTTTGAGACAAAATGTGGGCTCAGTCTCCTCCCAACAGATGAGAACTTTTTTGTTTCAATTGTGTCTTAAAGCTACAGAATACATTCACTCCTCTGAGAATAAATTATTTTAAAGCATAATCCTGAATAAACTCAAACATAGAAAAGGTTTTGCTTGGAAGAGGAGCCTGAAGCCTCTCCTCATTCCCACAACCAGCCATAATATTCTTCAGAGATTATTATTCATTCATCTGTAGGTGGCATGTGTGTCAGTCCAGGACGGGGAAACACATGACACACTTTAGTTTTTGATAGACCAGATCCATAACCAGCAAAAGTTATTATGTTACAACTTCAGAATGTAAAATAATGATTGTAATTTCAAAGCAAGTACAAACTGTGTGACTAGGAGAAAATATGTATATGTACAGTATATGTAAAAGCATATCAGGCATAAAGGTTTTTTTTTTTTTTTCAATTTTGAAAATTACCAACTGTAAATAAATTCATTTCACTTGAGGAATTGCCAAAACTACTAACGACCCATCCACAGTCTTTCTCCCCTCATGGCTTTTGTATCAGAATGCCCGGAATGCATCACTCTTCAAAAACCGGGAATGTGATTGGCTCTTGTGGAGTGAAAGGCAGTGCTGTCATGTCTTGAGAGCTTCACCCTGCGTCAGAATGAGCTCCGGCCCGCAGTGTTAAGTGGTGCGTTAGGCGTGTCGTCAGGGTCACTGTGGTCAAAGTATGTTCGTTCAGCAGAGGCCACAGAAAAGTCAGCAAGACGGACACCTCTGAGCCTCTCTGGTTTCGTTCTCCCTGCCACAGGGAAAATGTCTTTTGTATTCTGTAAGATGATTGATGTCTCTTGTGAGGAGAACGGGTGGGATGGCAAAACAATTTGATTGGACATGCATTCATAATTTGCAAATGCTGTTCTATTTGTCAGAATTTCTAATTGGCTTACATGCGTGATAAATAAAACGCTCTTTTTTTGACAGTATTTTCTTTTGACGTCTTCTGTTATAAGAAGCAATTCAGTTGTATTTGTAGGTAATAGTCAACATATGAGTATTTACTGTACATTTGATTTATGATGTTTTTTGGTTCCTTGTCAATTGGTAGACATGGGTAAACTTAGCGTCAGATCTAAGAAGCTAGGAACAGATTACAAGCTGGGGGGAGCTGGTTTATTGTATGACGATGAAAAACACAATGGCCAAGTATTTGTTTTGTTCTTGTTTGTTCACTTTTAAAAGTGGTCAAAACAATGATGCAATTCAACGAAACAAACATTTCTTAGGGTGTATTCAGACCTGCACATTTGCTCTGCTTTAAACGGACCAGGATTCGTTTGGAACTCTGATCCGAAGCTTTTATGCAGGTCTGAATACACACAAACGAATCCTGGTCCGGACCAAAGAACCGAATCGAGACCCACTTTTTTAGGTGGTCTCGGTCCGCTTCCAAACGAATTCTGGTCCAAGTCGAATCAGGTCTGAATACATCCGGTGTCGATCCGACACAACTCCAAGATACGTGCGCATTTTTTGGGCTTAACAAGCCGCAGACAGAAACTGTGAGGAATTAGCCATGCAGCGGCTAACTATGCTGCTAACGCTACACAACAACAATGAGCCGTGTGCAGACCTGGAGCAGTGAGGAGACGCTGTGCAACAGGCTTATGGAGTTACAACTGTTCACAGTATATATTGATGTTAATGGCAACATCTTCAAACCATTTGCATTATTAAAAACCTGACACTGTTTGACTCACGTCTCAAAGAGCAATATTCCGCATCATGGAGTGAATTGTGTTCTTTGGTTCATACCTGATCCTTAGCGTCTGTTTGTCCCGTGGTTATTATAGATCCATGGTTTATCCACAATGCTGAACAGGGCCGTTATTATAATATATCCATGTGTGGGACAGGACAGGACACGGAGCGCACAGACTGTCTCCTTCGGCTTTCTCCTCACGCATTCTCCGACGCTGTTCCAATATTTAAAACAACTTGTTTCGCCTGCGTCATATGAGCTGCTGCTGTTGATGTTGAAAGTGGTTTTGCTCTAAAAAGAGCAAACAGAGGCAGAGCAGACATGCTGCACATACGAGCCCTCAATGTTTTCTGCCGGTTCCGTGTCTATCCTCCGTGAGCTCTCTCTGTCCAATAGGAGCGCCAATCGTCACACGTGTCGATATGTTTATATAAAAAAGTTCACTTGCAAAAAGGACAGTCTGAATACGAACCGGAGCAAAAGAAAAAAGTTTGGTCCGCTTTTCATTCGGATCAAGCAAGCGGAGCAAAGGACTTTTCAGGTCTGAATACACCCTTAGTCTACTGCACAAGTTGTGATATGTCCTACACACAGTATCTCTGTTATCCAATTAGTTTAGTTTGGTTCATTTCAGTCTAAATTAACTTAAATAACAGGACACCTATTGTAAAAAATATGATTTGTGTTTTATGTGCGACATCACATCCAGTCTATACTGTACCGGGCGGTATTATTTGTGTCAAATGTTTTATTTTGTTAAATAGGCATGTGCTTTATTAATATCTGTAGTAGAAATTCAGGTGTCCAGCAGCAGAAACACATCCATCCAAATAAATAGATGTTTCTAAAAGTTACTCACATTAGTAATAAAGTGCACATGTTTAACTCTGATCCCTTAAAACGTTCTGTTCCGCAGCACAGTGAGAGTAGCCAGTTTCTACGATTATGGCCGGGGTACGAAGGGGTAGTGTCTCGCAGAGGGTGTCTGGAGTTTCTCAGGATGCCCTTCTTGAGGGCATCAGCTGGAGTCTTGTAAATTAAACATGAATAAAATATGAATTTAATGTATTCAATTAAATTGTGTATTTAAGCTGCATCTTATGGAAGGCGAATAAAGAGAGGTAAAGACCCATACTGTCTGCCCCTGGCTCAGTGAGCGGAACTCTCTTCAGGCACTTGTGTTGTCACATGATTTATCATATGGAGCAATGTTGAGATTGCGATCTCAATTATTGGCACAGCGCAAGTAGTACATGCAATTTAGATTCTGGATTAGAAAACCTTACTTTTTTCTGTATCCTCTCCTGATTTTCTGTGCCAAGTATAGTTGCGCAAGAATTTTTGACTCCTGCAGCACACGCAGTAGTATTTTCAGTCTGCAGTAGACTAGAATAGAGCTGCGACAGCGCTGCTGTTTCTTGTATCTCGTTATAAAATGTTGACTATATTCACGGGATGACTTTTCACATTGAAGTAAAGACCTTTTTAGTAACATAACTTTGAAGCGTGTTCTCCATCTGTTGACCTTTTGGGTCTCACCAGTTTTTTTTCAGGCCCACTGGAAAACTACATAACCAAGAATCTGGTGAATTGGGTTTTATATTTTCTTTTCTTTGTAGTAGCTGTATGTATATTTCATTTCATCTCATTGGAATCTGTTTGTTTTGTTTAAAATATTTACTTTGTTAAACAAGGAAACATGCAATTTGACATTTTATCATTCTTTCTCACACAGGATTATAACGGTGAGTTGAGTTCACCGAGGATAACAATTCTGTCATTTTAAAAGGTTTGACCATTGCTCTCACCACTGGCCAATTATTTAAAAGTACTGCTGTTGTTTCCAAGATGTTGTCTTCATGCTTGTGTCTTGTACCCTTTAGCTTTCTCTCTTGTGTATTACTGTTCCATTAAGCCTGTAAAACTGAAGCTCAGAAGTCGTGGGCAAGTGCTGTGTTGCCTCTTTACATGTTTTATGAACGCTTTTCACTTGTGCAAAATATGTCTGGTTCAGAGCAGCCCCGGTTTTCAGTGTCACTGGAGAAACGAGCTTCTCACATTTATTTGCTGTTCACAAATCACACTCGTTCCTTCCTTTTTACCTGATTTATTTCTTTACCTGGCTGTTGTTAGCAGATCTCTGTAAGGTGAGATGAGATATGCTTTATATATCTCATCTCGTGACAAGTATTCTGCAATTATGTTTTTAATATTCACACTGATGGACATTTGTAAGATTTGGTAGTGTGTGTGTGAATTTTGCTTCTTATAACATTGTACTAAGAAAAGCTAGAAATGGACAAAATTACCTAAACAAAGCCTAAAATCAATATTGTCAATATTTTGATGATGTGCTGTGTGCGGGAACCAGTAGCATTGCCCTTCTCCCTCGCAGTACTTTGCATTCTTGTAGTTCAAACCTGTTTATTAGTGTACAGTCTTTGATTCCTTTATTGATTTTGCCACAGCATTGATCAATGCAAGTTATTTTGCGTAAATGAGCGGCTTTCTTTCCATTTTGACATCACAAGTAAAGTATGTTGTCTCTACAGGGCCCTGAGGTCTGGCCGCCACTTGGACGACGACGATTTTGTGCCGGAGCTGGCTCACATTCATCCCCGAGACCGTCCTGACTGGGAAGAGACAATCAGTGCCATGGTGAGAAGTGCACAGCAGTTGTCTAAATACCTGCTAATTGTCCTGCTGAAAATGTCTTTTTTCATTACTAAGGGTTGACAGATGTGTTGTTTTCAAGTGATATTCTTTTGCTGTACAAGTGAAAGTATCGGTGTCTAAATGCTGAATAATACAAATGTAATGTCTGAAGCATGTTTTTTTTAAATAACAAATAGTAAAACTTATCTCTGTATACTGTATAATTAATGTTATGCAACGGCAGAATTTCATTGATCTCCCAGGTAACAGATGCTGCCCTTTTTGATGAGATTTTATCCAAATTAAGTGTCCTTTTCTTCAAGTTAATTAAGGCATTACTTTATTTATTCTGTGTGTATGTGTTTGATAGGGACAGAACAAAAAGCATTGTTACACAAACCGATGCCATGTTCATAGGCCATATAACTAACAGCTAATTTGCAAACCTCGTCCCTAAGACATAGAAATACATCACATTTGCAGTGTGTTTAATAACTAAATGAATTAAACGTTTAGTTTGTTCAGTAGGCTTACCTATTTTTGTGTTTAGTTGAGTTGCATCATTGTTGTTTTGACCTTTAGGCTGGGTTAGACTAATAATTTGACTAGAATAAAGAAAAAACATTTAGCCCAGCTGATGATCGGTCAACCCTTACTGACTATTACAGCCTGCCATAATTTGTTAATGCATAATGTATAAACAAACATGTGTGTTTCTAATGTAGATTTGTTGGACTGGTCGAGATTTTATAACCCCTTATTATGACTGAGGAGAAGTCCTCAGTTATAAGTATGACAAGTGTGCAGTGGTCAGCTGATGCCTCGGCGCTTTTCATTGGCTTGTGTCTTGTTCTATTGAAAGCGTGGCCCTCTTTGACTGGAACACAATCACACATTCATGACTAATGCAGACGTTTGTTGTCGCTCCGAGGTTGGCCGGCTCCACACTCTTTGCATAGATATCCATCCGCCCGCCAGCTGCATCTCCACTGTCATCTGTTTACTGTCCACGTTGTGGGTTTCATTCACCACAATCATTCATTATTGGGCCCCCCTCTTCTTCTGCCCGGGCTTGGCAACTCGAATCAACAGTACGGTAAAAATTAGGCCGTCGCCATGGTAACGCGCCGAGCCACCCATGGTCTGTGCGTGGTTTGGAGCATAGTGGCAAATACTCTCTTCGATCAGACAACAGAGGAAGAGAAATGACAATCTCTCCAGGCTGATGAATATTGATCAGAGGCGGGGTTTAAACGCTGCATGTCTGCCTGTCTTTGTTCAATATTTGATAGGAGCTGCGCAGGAGCTGGATATACATAATAGATATATCTGCGATGGTTCCTCGAGCTGATGACTCGGTGCAACTTGTATTTGGCGTCACACCATCGTCCTCAAAACAGTAAACCGTTGCACTGAGGAGGATTGATGGCACAGCATGTTGAGTCAGAATGTAGTCCTGTTCTTAACAATTATTTGAGTATCTACAAATCAGATTAGACTGACCGGTTTATCGGTTTGCATTTACTAATTTAGAAGTCGTGCAAGACATTGCTAATTGGCCGAGTTTTCTGATTTTCTGCAGATGTTCTTGTCAGCCACCAACTTTTGGTCAGTTGGTGGCTTAGAAACCCATTATAAGCATGCTGTTCCTCAGAAGCTTTGAATTGGAAGAATCTGTGTTCTAAGATGATTTAAACAACATTTTGAGGAAATGGAGGCAATCTCAATCACTGTCTTGATGCAGATTGTGTTTAAAGGAATTGAACTGTACCTCTAGGCTGAAGTCTGTGCTCTACAAGAGCTTTTCTAGTTTGAAATGTTGCCATAGTGACAGCTGACATTGCATAATGCAAATAAGGAATGAGGAAGAGTAACCTAAACTTTGTTCACAGACCTGCTGATCACTAACGTGTTAAAGTCTTGTCTTTAACACGACTTCTCAAGCTGCCGGCTGCAACCGCACTCTCCCAGTTATTTGCACCTCATTTCAGTTTGATTGTTGCTTCACCTCCTCATTTAATGCCCATGTATTTACAATACAGTATCATATTTTTGTCGACTTTGTCTTTGTCTCAATATCCTTTTACACTTTTTTTTTAACCACTGCAGAGTTTAAAGTTCAATGCTATTAAAAGTAAATAAGGCAAAAGTCTCCTCTCCAGGAGGACATAACATTATTACAGTGGCGGGCTGCAGTCCCAGCTGTACAGAGATTAGGGCTAAATGAGAAAATGGCTTTTAGTGGCTGTTTCAACCCCAAGTTGTTTTTCTTCTTTATTTGGGGACTTGCTTTTAATGCAGTATTTGAGATGCCAAAACACAGGCATTTTTCAACAAGAAATTGATATTTTGGTGTTTTTGGAATTTCACATTATATAGTTTTTATACCAATTTCTGTTTTTTGTTACAAAAAGCTTGATTAGTACAGTTTTAAATAGTCGTTAAAAGTAATTTTACTGTGTAGAACATATATGCATGGCAGTTGCTGCTTCCTTATCAACAGGTTCTTCCACTTTGCACACAACACTTTTTATAGGAATAGAAAAAAGGCTGACAGTGTTTTCAGGTGTAAACATCGCTTTAAGTCGACTTGGCAGGTTTAGGACCAGCTCATTAGAGCTAGAAATCAGCACTCCTACTGTTTGTGTCCCGCTCATAAAACAGTAAAGAACTCCATTCCTTTACTTTGCACTTTACAAAATAACTTGATCTAAAATGGACTGAAGTCTAATGGTGTTGCAATTATGTTTTTACTGACGTGAATCTGAAAAGTGCCTCTTTGCTTTTGATTGTTTTGAAGGCGCGGAGTGCAGAGATTCCCGAGCTCCGTGCCGAGCCCCTCATGCGATCATGCAGCAGCAGCACGGCGAGCATGAAGGTCAAAAATGTCAAGAAGTGAGTCCCTCTTTATGCATTTGATTTGTCGTGGCATCCTCTTATCCTGGTCTTTCAGTCTATTCCTGTGCCTTCCTCCAGTCCTCGCTCACTGCTTACATTGCACTCTGCTCTTCGCCTCGTCATTCTCACTTGGAGGTGTTATCTTGAGTGGAACATAAGGTGATAACCAAACTGTGCCTTGTGTCTTATGTTTCAGGCTCAATTTTACCAAGGGACACTTTCCCAAACTGGCAGAATGTGCCCACTTCCACTATGAAAATGTGGACTTTGGCACGATCCAGGTAAAGTGCATTTTATCAATTGTGATAATGGAAACACTTTAGGTGTGTGTATTTTTTGTGTATTTTGAAGTGTCTTTTTCAAAAGTTATGCAGCCCACAGATGTACAGGCTGCACTGTTTGTTTTTGTATTTTTTGGTCAAAGTGACATCTGACAAAAGCAGTAGTTTGTTAGGCCATGCTCCTTCTTATCCTAAAGTTGACGTTTGAACCCAGTCTCATCATTAAAACACTTGATAAGTGCCAGATCCACTGTCTCAAAGGCAGCCTGTCTGATTATGTATGTTGTGTCTTTGGGCATTGTTCTCAATGGCAGCTGTGTGGGTGAGTCATGCAAAGCACTCAAAAGAAACAAATATTACCATTTATGTATGGTCATTTTGTATCCTATTTGTTCTTGAATATATATCATCTCTATCCAATGATGATGAATCCATACATTCTTTGTTAAAGACCTTATTGCTCTCGACAAAGTTCCACCAAAGTTTACGTACGTTACAGTTTAATATTCTTCATGAATGAATATTCTCATATTGGGGGCGACAGTGGCTCAGTTGGTAGAGCATTGGCCTTTGGGCCTGAAGGTTGTGGGTTCGAGTCCACCACAAGACCCACTTGACGACTTCCACTGATGTCTGGTGTTGTGTCCTTGGGCAAGACACTTAACCTAACTTTGCCTGAAGCCCTCGCTGAAAGATCAAGGCTTCTGTGGACTCACCACCTGCAGGAGGATCAGTGAGTGGCTGGTGCTCTGTGAACTGGGTGCAGCTCTGACTGCCACCGCCCCGACCCAGAAATGGATTAAGGGGGAGAAAATGGATGGATGGATGAATATTCTCACAGACAACCATAGGTGACCTCAAACAGACTTCCCTTGTTGATGGAAATGGATGGTGATTAGCATTTGTTTGATACCATCCTCTTGCATCCCTCGGTACACACTGCAGCCAAGCCATTCATCTTCTGAATTAACATAGCTTCGACAGCTTTTTTATCTATTAAGAGTGAATTTCCCACTGTCAGTAGACTCCACATAAAAGCAACCAGAAAGAGCTTTCAGTTTCATTTGCACCTCCACTTTGAATTTGTCATTATGGTCTAAACCAGCAGGGGTCAGCATGCTTCTAGTGTTGGCATCTTCCTCCTTTTAAGATGATTCTATTATGTGTCTCATGTTCCCTATTAAACCCTTATATGCTCTCAACTCCCCTTGTTATGTTTGCTGTACATTATTTCTCATGCTTTGCAAAATGGCTTTTGGTTTTGTTTTTCACTTCCCATTGGCTTTTGCATTCATTATTGCAGCTGTCTCTCAAATGAACAGGGGCCAAAGCCTAAATCAACGCCTGCTTTGTTCATTGTAAGATTCATTATTCAGTATTTTTTCCTGGTGTCACTCAGTATATATTCGCTCTAATCCTCTGTCAACCCAAACATCTTCACATGTCTGTTAGATTGGTTCAGTTCAAATTAAATGCGGTGTGAAGCAGTGCTGGATGTTGATTTATACTAGTGTATGTACTGTCATTGTTTGCAATATCTGATCTGCTATTGTGCTATTTCTACTGCTTTTGTGAAGATTTGAATCTGTGTAATCATGACATACTTAACTGTGTTAATAAATAAATGTTTTCTAACTTAATACAATGTTAAACATAAAGCAGCAATGGGAAATGGAGTTGAATGTTACCTTGGATGATGATGTCTGGGCTGACACTTGTACTGATTGTCATAAGGGTGTGTGTAGTCGGGTCTGGAACGAGTTTGATTGGAAGATGAAAACCAGATTTTTTTAGGACTCCGTTAAAATCTTTCCTAACCAAGAGTAACAGGAGTGACATGCTGGAGAAACTGTGGATTTGTCGGAGATCAGACTCCCATATTCTTGGATTGTCCCAAAATACAAAACTTTTGGCGGAACATTAAGGGCGTTTTTGAAAATTTACTAAAAGTGAGCCTTTTTTTTTAACTCCCAAATATTTTTATTGGACATCTTTCTCGACCATCTTACCCCTGACCAAAGATGTCTTCTTCATCTACTCTTAATGACAGCAAGGAAAACAATTTGTTGGTTAAAACTTGAGCCGCCTACTATTACACAATGGATACAAAGAACACGACAGGTTTATTTGATGGATAGGTTGATAGCATAACTGCAACTTAAGAACCACATCTTTGAAAGAAGATGGGGTCCTCTGATTACCTTTCTTATTTAGGAGCCTAGGCCTTCATTTTTTTTTTTTTTTTTATGAGTGAATGATTTATTAAGCCCAGTCTCAGGAGATTGTTAATGTTCTGTTTTTTGTGTGTAATCACAATAAAGTTCAAATACAATGTTAAATGTGGCTCTATGGAGGAAACGATAGCCCACCCATCTGCTCTATGGAAGTGCAGAGTCCAGATGAATGTACTCAATGAATCTACGATACTGTATATTTGGTTGATGATTGATGTCCTCACTCTTGAAGGAATTACTCTCATAATTTTTTGGCATAAACATTCCTCTGATTCCTAGTCCCTCTGGAAAAAGAGAAAGCCTTGCTGCTATTTAAATGTTCAAGTTGCGCAACGTTTCTGGCTCTATTGTTTAAAAAGCTGTAGTGACAATCGCTCACAGGTCTGTAATTTAAGTCCCTCACCACCGCAACGTTTGAGAAGAACTATGGAAAGAATAAGACGATGATAAGCTGTGCCATCCCTCACAATCAGCCAGCCAGTGTATTCCTCTGCCTAAAGCCAATCTTCAGTCTTCAAAAAGTTTTTTCTCTTTGAGACAAACAATGCTGTGCACGGCATACGGATATAATACTAGCTAGTTACACAAACTTTCACAGTTCATGATGAGAAACTATTCCCAGTAGTGAACACTTGACACCCTCCTTACGAAACACCTGATTTGAGGCCTATATCAAACATGTCCAAACTAAGGCCCCAGGACAATTATGGCCCCTTGTCATTTTATTTGTCCCTCTCCCTCATTAACCTGTTCAAAGTGTCATCCAGCCAACTTCAGCTCTGCCAATACAGCCATGATGTACCTCGTTGTAAAGCTCGGAGCCTTTAGTATCCAGTCCTTTTTATGTGTATATATTGACTTTTGTTTTTATTTGTCAAAAAATGTCCATCTATGGCACTAGTGTAGCGGGTGAGATGGTTAGCATTTGTCATTCAGACAAATTCAGCAGTTATAGCTCATTTTAAAGCAGTTTTTCTAAATTGGCCTTGCTAAAATTTTTGGACACCCCTGGCCTATATGTTGTTCAGGAATAAACGTGTTCAGTCCTTTTTATTGGTGCTTCTCATCTTCCTCTTGGTTCTGAGAGATGATCTAATCACATAAAAACACAAGGCAAATGCTTCCCATTACAAACAAAAAGGTACATCAAAATACAAAACTGCATACAAATGATACCATATGAATGAAAAATGCACCAAAAATAACACTGGGCGGCACGGTGGCTGAGTGGATAGCACTCTCGCTTCTCAGCAAGAAGGGTCTGGGTTTGAATCCCGGTCAGAACATATTTTACTTATTTAGAGATATTCAAAGGTGTGAAGACCCTCTACCCTCATTATCTGCTCTGATTTTTGATGTATCTACAAGTCCTATTCTATATTGGATTCCCTGTAGCTGCCCCGGGTATGGTTAAACTGAATCTGTCTTTTTTCAAAGCAAATTTGTCGTAAATCTGTCTTTGCCCTAGTCATTATGGATTTGGGAATAATGATTATCACAGATCAGAAGAACCACCTTTTTAGTACTTATTATGCATTTCAGAAAATGGAGAAAAAGTAGAACATGACAACAACAGAACATATGAATATATATTGCCAATTGTTAACCTTCATTTATAGCTGAGTTTTTTGAGGATTGTCTGCATTTAAAATGGATCAGGACGATGTGCCAATTCACAGGCAATGATCATTGTGTGTTTACAGCTGTGCTGATTCAACCAATGGCTGGGCACATTTAAAGGCAGTGGTTCCTGAATTGGAGCAGTGTTTGCATGTATACAAGTGACCATGCATGTGATGAAGATTGACAGCTACTCCTCGGCCCTTCCGCGGGCTATAACTTGAGCTTCAGACGATGACCAGACAGTCTGTTTTGTGTTTCGGTTTTTCTCCCACCCTCTACACCCACCATTCGATCACTCTGTCTTTCTCTCATCATGGCCTTTACCTCGGCCCCGTGAGCAGAGCATCGTGACACAATATGCTCTGGCTGCCCACTCACCCCTGAGCGCACACAAAAGACCGAGGGAGACGAATGCCCTCCCCCAATAGGACCCAATCCATCAACTGCAGCACAACACCGAAGCAATGTCCAGCCGACCGGCAAAAGCAACAAATATAAAGCATGGCATGATGGACATTTTCTCCTTTCATTTGGCTGCATTGTCTTGTAGCTTCAATCGCATTACTTTGTGTTTGTGATTGGAGAGATTCTCGACTCGACTTGAGGGTGAAAACACGTTTCACTCAGAAACCTTGTAAGCCAACGGTGATGTAACAGCTTGAGTCATTCGCCTTTGTTAAACTAAAACAAAGCAAAGCACAGAAAAATGGCCCCCTCATCCATGATATTGGGTCACTGTTGCCTTCTCTAAAATACAAAATCAACATTACTTGCTTGTATACTTTTATTGAATACTGAAGAACTATATTATATATGAAATGTATGATTATTTCAATGAAGGTTGTACAGTAAACTATAATCAGCGCCCTAAGCAGTCGATACTGTTGCTGTTCTGACATCTGCTTGTTTTTCTTCCTTCTGTGAACAATGGCTTGAATATAATTTGTCCATTTACAGTCTTCTGAAATGTGACATTGTACTAACCAGTGTCAGACACACACCGTTCAATTACTGTTCCTAACCAATCAACACCCACCTGAGCCATATAATAAAAACAGCTCAAACATACAAAACAGACACAGCAATCAGAGAGAAACATGGTAAATTTCAGTATGTCGACAGGTGACTCTTCTGGTATCTTTT